TTTCCTGGTGTCCAAAGATAAAGCATGCGCCTGTGTTTCCTCTCAGATCATGAACTCATACAGGTCACAGTCAGCGTGTGTGTGTTCAAACCATGGCCTTGCTGTAGCTGATGAGACTGTTTTGTGAAGTTTTTGTAAAAGACAGGCTTGATTTAGATCAGTTTGTGCTTGGTTTTGATTTTCTGGCATCTTATCCCTCAGTGTTTTAATGGGCAGTCATATATTTCTTTGTCAGTAAAGCATGTGTTCTAGTACAGATCAAAACCTACCTCACTGTGCTTCAGGGGACATCTGTCTGGGGGTGCTGAAGGGGTGACTGCAAGGGGAGAGCCTGTTCTCAGGACCATGGTGAGGCTGGGGCTGCACATTATGCTGGATTCAGAGGGATTTCACAGCTGGTTCTGCCCACTTGGTGGTCTGGGCTCTTTGCTAGCCACCTGTGTTAGCCTGGTGTCACTTCCAAGGTACCTGGAGTCCTGGACTTGGGGATAGAAATGTACTTCTCAGCTATGCAGAGATTTTTTCAGTGCAGTCTCCCAGGTAACACACAGGCAGAGATAAAGCAGTGCCTCCCTGGGAAAGGACTGACCAGGGCTGTCCATGGCAGTCCTGGCTGAGCAGTGCCATTTCCAGCTTCACCTCTGCTCACACAGGTCCCACAGAGGCCATGTTGTCAGAGGGGCTCAAGACAAAGCCTGGCCAAGGTGTTTTTGCAGAGCAGCAGCTCCAGAAAAGGCCTGTGAGACTCGGCTGTGTCAGCACCAAGGAGGCTGGCTGGCTTGTCATGAGCTCAGAATCCTCCACACTGCAGTTTGATGCCAGCCTGCTGCTCAGCTGGGAAGGAGCCCCAGGGTCCTGCCCACATCCTGCTTTGAGAACTGACTCCTGCTCCTGGTGCAGCTGAAAGGAAAAGACACAGGGCCACGAACAGCATGACTGGACCTGCCAGAGTGCCAGCCCTGATCCTGCCCTGCTGGGACCTCGGGACAGTCAAAGGATCCCACGGGGCAGCTCCTCTTCTTCACCAGGCTCACACAGCACCTCAGGCATTAAATGGAAAGCCAGTCTCACAGCCAGCAGCAGCCCTGCCTTCCAAAAGTGCCTTGGGTCCAAAACAAGGCCAGGATTTGGACTTAATGATCTTTGGGAGTCCCTTCCAACTCTGGATATTCTGATTCTAGGGCCACTTTGTGCCAGTCAGTGTGTGAGCAGGGGCAGGTCACCAGGTTCCTCTGGTACACACCATGGCCATGGACAGGCCTGTGTTTCACCTTTGCTCAGCTGCTGTTTGGTGGGCAACAAAACTGCTTCTGTTGCCAACAGGAGTCCCCACTCCCAGCTTGTTGCCGACTCTCCAAGCCCAGAAGAGCTGTCCCCACCCTGTGCACCCCTGAGGATCACTCACACTCCCCAGAGCCCAGCTCTGAGCCACCAGGGCAGGAATGAGCTGCTGGTGGCAGAAGGGACAGTGACTTGCTGCTGCTTTTTCAGCGCTCTCCTCCTTGGAGACGCAACAGCCCCAACACTAGGTCAGGTCAGCCATGGCTCTGCCTGCCTGTCCTAGTCCTGAACCCTGTGAGGAGGGTGAGGAGGGCACTTCCCCCCCTCCATGGGACATGTGCCTCATGCTGCTCAAGCAGTTCCCCAAGGAGAGGAAGGTGTGGGAGTGCTCTGCCAATACCCCAGTGCGGGGATGCTCTGATACAGTGACAAAATTCCCTTCCCAGCCTGATTGTCTGCTGAGCACCACACTCAAGGTGACCTCACAGGCTGAAGCAGATGGCCAGATCTGCCTGTTCCTGGAGTGGAGAGATGATTTGAACACATCTTTTCTGTGCATCACCAGGCCAGGCAAGGCCCAAGCTCTCCTCTGGGCTTTCTGCAGCTCTGAGGTCAGCTCCTAGAGAGGAGCGTGACTCATGACTGCAAGTCACAGGCAGTGCTCAAAGCTTGGGCCACCAGAGGCAGCTGTGACTGATGCCAGGAGGTTTTGTCTGCACCACTGGCACAGCCCTACTGCACAGAACATTTCTGGAAGCCAATATCAGTGAACAGGACTTGCTGATAGCATAGAAGTGAGCAGCATTTCTAACAAAAAGTTCACAAGCAAATTCACTGGGATAGGTCTGCCAAGTCTCTCAGCATCCCAGGTACCCCAGGAGGGAGCAGGAGTGCTGAAAGCAAGGCTGTCTCAGATGCTGGTGGCACAGGATGACCAGCATGCACTGGCTGGCACTTCTCACCATCCAACTGGTGCAGGCAGACAAGGATGCTGGGGGGGTGAGACCAAGATTGTCTCTTCAGTGCTCCAGCCACCACTTTTCCTATGATAAGTGTTCCTCTGAAGAGTGAGCAGAGCAGTTCCCTTGAAAAATAAGAATCTCCATGAAAATTTAATTCCCATACAGAGCTCAGGCCTCCAGAGATGCAGCAAAAAGGAAAGGAATGCAATTGGGGTCAGACACAGCTTCCAGGAAAGCAGCAGCTAAGTGGTGATTTGGATGGTGCCAGGGGCTCCTCCAGCCCTGGTTTTAAGCACTGTTGGTTGTAAGGGAAAGGTGCAAGCCCTAAGCTGGTGTCTGCCAAGCTGCAGCTCTGCCTCAGAGGCTGCTTCCCTTTTGTGTAGGGATGTTCAGCACTTTTGTCTGACACCGTCCACTGCGTTTACAACAGGTTTTGGAAGTTCATAGAAATATTGAGAGCCAAGTCAAGAGCCAAGTCATGTATCCTACTGCATGAGGAGGTCCAGACTGGGATGAATATTTGGTGGCTGAAATAACTATTTCAGCTGTTGAGCATGTGCTGCTCCTGGAAGTGGCTGCTACTTGCACTGGCCTGTCCTCACATTTTTTGACAGCATGTCCTGAACAGACAAGGCTGGATTTTCCTCCTTGCCCAGTAGCTAAAGGATGGGCCAGGACATTTGTGAGCTCAGCGTGGCCTGTGATGAATTCCCTGTCTAGGGGAGGTGGCCTGCCCATGGAATTGCTCAGCTCTCCCACCAGAACAGTGAGTGACATTGCTGGGTCACAGCCTTTCTACCCGTCAGCACAAAAACCAAATTGCACAAAAGTGTCCCAGAACCCCTCTGTGACAGCCTGTGCACAGGGCAGGGGGCAAAGGAGAGGCTGAGGGGGAGCATGGACCAGCTGCACTGGGGGGATCCCAGACTGTGCCCTGCTCACTGGGAGGCAGCAGAATCTGGGGAATTTGGGCTCCCAAGAGCTGCTCCTGCAGCCAAGCAGTGGGAGAGCTATGGCAGTGAAACCCACATGTTTTCATCACTTTTTGCAGCGGGACAGATGATGAATCTTACACCCACCACACGGGAAGTCATCATCACCTTCTGAGCTATGCTCCAAGGGGATTTGTACCCTCTCCTTTTTCTCCTCACCAGCCTGGCTGACAGCTGGCTGCTCCAGGGGGCTGGGGAATGTTTGTTTGCTAGGAAGGGCTATGAAAGAAGCAGAAGCAGCAGGGAATGTGGGCCCTGAATGCACAGTCTGTTAGGATCCCCCTTGCCCATGTGGATGTGGTACATCACTTGGTCTGGCTGTGTCGGAAGTTGGAGTGAAATGGTGCAAATAATTTGGCACACGTGGGAGCTGTGAAGGGAAGTGATGGAGGATCCTCACTCAGGATATTTTACAGCCCAATGGGGCACTGCTGTGTCCTTGGCAGGGTGGTGTATGTGACTCGAGAAGGCTTTGCTGTCTCTCTGTTAATAATGTGATGTTGTATGTAAATTGCCTAGTTGAAGGCAGGAAGCTCTAATGCCTGGGGTACTGCACCAGGACTAGGAGAGCAGAGAACCATTCTTGGGTGAGTGACAGATTGCTTTTGTTCTTGCAGTTTCTGACCTCCCTTAACTCACCTGTTCCATAAAGATCCTTCTCTTCCTCAGGGAAAGCTCCAAGCCCTGCACAGCTGTTCAGCATTCTGAGCAGTCACAGGGAGGGTTCTACGCAGAGGAATTGGGATAGAGCTCACCCTGTGTGAGATCCCAGCCAGGAGCTGGTTATCTTTAACCTGCCTGCATAGCCCAGGAGGAAGCACGGGCATTCCCAGAGCATGGACTGCCTCATTTGGTTCTGGGGGTCCCTGAGGAGGATGAGGGGGTGCACATAGTGTGAGGGTCTAAATCCGTGTCCACAGGCAGAGCCAGCACTGTCTGGGGTGGTGCCATGGGGCAGAGGAGAGCTACAAACTCCCCTGGTCTGCCAGTGGCAGAGGCAAGGTCTGCCAGTGACTTCAGCCATCAGCTTCACCCTGGGTTAAGAAGAACAGCACACACAGACTTTACCACATACTGGAGGATACATTTTTCCCTCACAGCAAGAACCTATCTTTGGTGTCCAAAGAAGTGCTGGAATTTGGCAGGAGATCATTGTCCCATATGAAGCCTTCACTAAACATTTGCTCTGAATGTGAAACATGGTTTGTACAGAGGACATGGAAAAGTCACAAGCAATGGCATTTCAGGGAGCCTCATGCTTTGGGGAGTGATCTGGAAGGGATTATTTTTCAGCTCCATCCCACATCCCAGGAGATGACATTCTACTCATTGTAGACATGAGCTGTTGGCAGAGCTCAGCAGGTTGTTCCCAAGGACAAAAATGCTGTTCTTGCCTTTCTTTTCCTTCCAACCCCAGCTCATTCTGGGCAGCTGAGGAGAAGCAGCCTGGACCTGTGCTGGTGGGCAGGGCAGTGTGTGGTTATGTTGTCACTGAGGTGTCTCAGCTCTGCTGAGCTTCCAGCAGGACAGCATGGAACTGACTTTTGTGGTTTACTTTGTGATACAGGTGTCCTCCTGAAGACAAATTTGCAAAACCTAATTCACAGTACAGGTTACCTGGGTGATGGGATGAGCTAAATTGTTCACAAGGCTGGTCCAGCAGCAGCAGGGATCAGTGCCAGACCTGTGTGCCACACAGAGACCCCACACATTTTATCACCTCAGTGCCATCCTGCCCCTTTCCCTGACACTGTCTCTCTCACAGTTTTACAGCTACGGCTGCAGCAGAGAAGGACCCGTGAGCAGCTGGCAGACCAAGGCATCATGCCACGTGAGTATTCCCTTCTGCCTTTTCCATCCTGGCTCAGAGGAGAGCTCATCCTGGCTCTCCTGTGTTCATCCTGGGCACTGCTGGGGCACTGTGTGGCACCAGCTCAGATCCCCACAGCTCAGAGAAAAGTGCTTCCAGGGGGACTTTGCTTCCAGCCCTGCAGAAATATAATGATCCCTGCTGCTGTACAGTGCATTTATCACACAGACTATAATGCCCCTGCTCAAACTGAAGTCAGGAGAGATGCTTTCCTTACACCATCCAAAATTTCAGCTGCAGAGATCCCTGTCCCAGAGGTCACTGCAGCAGGACAAGCACATCCAGCTCAGCAGAGAACTCACAAAGCTGTTCACATAGGCAAGGGCAGAGAATCTCCTGTCCTCCTGTAAAAGCCAGGAACCTCTGTGACAGGACAAGGAAGAGGATGAGAGGGCTCATTCCAGGATGCTGGGGAGGAAGGCAGCTCTGGGGACCTGCCTTGGCCCCGGTGCAGACAGCAATCCCTGGGGGATTGAGATTTACCCAGCTCTGTGCTCAGGCAGGACCCCCAGGGCAGAGCTGTCAGTGCACACCTCAGGCCAGTGAACCCTCTACTTGCTGCAGTGACAAATGTGTTCCCCCTCTGACCCCATCCACCCCTGCTCACCTCAAGCCTGAAGGACAAACTCCAGGACAGCATTATCATGAAGTGATTCTGCACCAGAGAGTCAGCTGCTAGAGCCCAAAAAGTCAGTGAATGAAAACCATCCCCTTCTGCACCTGCAGGTGCATCATGAAAGCTGTAGAACCACTGGAGAAAGGATGTTGGGAGCTCAGCCCTGCTCAGTGGAACACTCCATCCTGACCTAGCTCAGGCTCCATGTGCAAATCTGTGGTTACCTGGGACCCAGGTAGAGGATTATCCTTTCTGTCTCATCAAGGACCCCTTGGGTTCACTGCTAAGGTCACCATTTTCCAGAGGCTGTGTCACTGCTGTCTCTTCTGGTTGCCTTTGAAGGCTGTGATGGAGCTCTTGCCTAAGCAGCAGAACACCACCTCTCTCTGAGAGCATGGCTCTAGCACTGCTTGCTGCACCCTGTCCCTGCCCTGTCGCTCCTGGAGGATTGTGCTAAACAGACAGAACAACTGACTCCTTCTCAGGACGTTTTAGTCAGCACCAAGCATTAGGAAAATGTGAGCAGGATGACAAAATCATGACTGCCAAAATGACCAATGGTTTTAAGACTGATAAATGCATACTCTTTCAATTTTTCACCTGTTTATTTCTTTAAACATTCAGATTTTATGCTTTGATCACAAGACTCCAGGACCTGAAGCTTTAGACAAAATCCTGTGATATTTGTTAGAGTAATGCAAGAGCATGGGGCAGCAGTGCCCCCTGAGAGGTTTGTACACCTGGGGCTGCTCTGCGAGGCTGCGCTGTCACACGTGGCACCCAACATCTCCAACCTTCCACACAGCAAAGTATTCAGCCAAATACATTTGATGGCAACTGAAGGGTATTTTCCTGTTACTTACAGCTTCTTTGCACTCCCAACTTCTAGGCTGACATTTTGCAGTCTGGTTTCTGTCCAAGAAGACCATTCTGGGAAACTTGAGCGCGGTTCACTCACTGAAAGTAATAGAAGAAAAGGCGCTTATGCCATTATAAAAACAAACATGCAGAATTTAACTGCTGAATTTGACATCAGGAGGAAGTGTCAGATGTTAGCATTTAATACATGGGAGCCCCAGCCAGCTTCCCCATGGCTTGGGCATGTGCAGACATTCCTTACGAAAAGCAAGTTTTTGTTAACCATATCTTCCCATGCCATGTTGGTTCTGAGGACCAGCAGGTGAGTCCCCCTGGCTGTGATGGACTGCAAAAACACGTGTGCTTGAAGGCCCTCCTGCTCTACACAGCCACCACCTCATCCTCACTGAAGCCTTAAAACATCTGTCCTGAGATGATCGACAGCACACACAGCACCTCTGCCCTGGTGCCCGCAGGCCCTCACCCATTTCCTGCTGAAATGTCATCCCCTGACAAGTTCTCTGAACTAGCAGTGCCAGCAATGTCTTTATTTGTTCTGCAGACTGATACAAGCTGCAGCACCCACATAATTCCTCCAGAAATCTTTGTAAATTACTAAACTCTGCAGCACTTGAATAGCACAGCACTTGGTCAGTGCCTGCAGCACACTGCCAGCATCAGTACTTCACATCAGCAGGGCTGGGAAAGTCATCTCTCTTGCTAACTTCATTTTCTCATGTGCACTATTTAATTTTGCTTCTGATTAAACCAGCTGTCACCAGTGCTGGTGGCTGCTCACTGGAGCATGGCACAGCAGCACCAGCTTGTCTGTCTGTCTGCTTTCCAAATGGCAGGAGTAGGAATGTGCCTTCTGTGCTTTTCTGTGATTCACTGGATGTTCCAGGGGTTGCCTGGAGTCGATTCAGAGGGCCCCAAACCAGTCTTCTTTTCATCCTCCCCTAGACTGATGGAGGATAACAAGGCCTGCATGAAAATAGTTTCTGTCTTTATTGGATCCCATTCAGAAGATGGAAAGAGAATTTCTGTTGCCAGACAAAGAGTTACAGCAGACTGTTTCTGTGGGTCAGGACACCTTCCCCTTCCTTGTCCCAATAGGAACAGTTAGTTTTGTCTGCTTACACAGACAGAAAAGAATTTTTGTAGGATGTGAGAAGTATTAACCCCTTCACCATGCAAATTCTGCCTCAATTTCTACTGCACCACAGTGAAGAAGGAAACTGTGCAGGATTCTCCATGGCTCCAGTGCAGGCTGCTCCATGGGGCCCGGTGTTCACTGGCCCAAGAGCCAGGGATCATTGGCCTGGTTTTGGGAGCACCACTGGGTTAATGCTCCTTGACGGCAGGAGATGCTGAGGACATGGGCTGCTCCTTGCCTGCCCACAGAGGTCCCAGGTGACCCAGCTGCTTCTGAGCATGAGACAGGACAAATGTCCAGTCATGGTCAGTGACAGAAGAGGGGTAAAGGACCCTGGCAGAGGGATAATTGGCAACTGGCAATGCCCTTGCTGGAGGCTGTGCCACAGACCCCAAGAGCTGAGGCAGGCATTAATTTTCCTGCTGACCTCAAGCCTTAATCACCTGCAGGTTTTACTTTCAGGTGAGGGCCCTCACAGGTGTTTGCTCTTCCCAGATCTGTCTTCTGGAGCTGTGCTGCCCTGGACGACCTGCAGGGAACATGAAAGGGAAATGATTTATCTGCTCTCTGACGTGTCTCACAGAGCACTGTGTTTCAAAGCCTGCACCCCTCCCTGCCCACATACCTCCCGCTCTCCCCATGCTCTCCATCCCCCCTGCTCTCCTGCCACGGACTGGCTGAGAGCATGGGATTTCCCAGAGCTTTCCTGAGTTATTTTTAGTCAGCACAATAAAGAGAACAGCTAGTTTGTGTTGCTATTTTTATAGCACTCATTAAAATACTGTTGCTGAATATCCTGGTAGCTGCTTGCTTCCGCTCCTGTGCTGACTGCTCCTCTTTCTTTCCTGTTGCAGCACTGAAAAGCCCATCTGCATTCCATGAACAGCGAAAAAGTCTGGAGAGAGCCAAGGTAACTCCTGCAGCCGTCCCAGTGAGGGAACACATGGGCTTGCTTTGCATGAGTCATGGGGTTTGGCAGCACCTTCCAGCACCTTCCACCACTGTCCCCTCCTCTGGCACCCTCCACGCTGGTCTGGTGGCCGAGAATGAGGGGCAGGACACCTGCCCTGCTTCCAGAAATGCTTCCAGGCTCACAGATGCTCTGGAGCAGCCTTCTCCGAGCAGGGAAGGTTTAAAAAAAGGGCAAAGGGGGCATCTGTGCCCTGTGCTGTGGGGTTTTACATCAGCCTCGGGTTTTACATCAGCCTCAGGTTTTACAGAAGGCCATGGGCAGGGCAGGGCTCAGCATGGCTTTGCCAGCTTGGCCATTAGGACACAACATCCAAGGGGGAAATGGGCCAGGTTCTCACCCACCCCATTGCCAGGCTTCCCTAAACACTGCCAAGGGCAGCAGCCATTTCCAGGACACATGGAAACTCCATGATCTGATCACTTTTTGGGGAATCACATTGGTTTTCCAATGGCAAACCATCCAGCTGTGATCAAACTGGAGGCATGCTCCCAGAAAGGGAAGCAATTAATCATGCAGATTTTGCTTGAACACAAGAATTTGTTCTATTAATTTGCAAAATGTGCTTGCAGTCACATGGGAAAGGACCTTTGCAGGGAAGAATGATTGTGAAATACAGGGAAGTGCTCTTCTGAACTTAAGCACACTCCAAATCACTTGCCCCAAGTCTCCCGTGGTAATAAATGGCGAACATAAGAAATACAGTATGACTCTGAAAGATTAGTACGCTTAAAAAATTTCAAGCAATCCAAAGTATCCTTGAAGTGTCATATATTTTACAGTTAAAGTATACATTTGTGTCTCTGTCTTTCTCTTCAAAAGCTTTCACTGGCTAGTTGCCTGGGGAAAGGGGAAGGATGGTCTAGTCTATCCCAAACCACAGGCATGTTTGGAAAGTGCTAATGAAGACACTGAGCACAGCCCATAACAAACATTATTCCCTTGCAAAGCTGCCCTGTTTAGATCTGAGACCAGGAAGATCAACAGCTGTTTCCAGACTCAAAGGCATTTGTTGTTTAGCTGATCTTCCCCCAAGCTGATGTTGTGCAAACAGAGAGTAGATAACTGTTCACGTGGTGTGAAAGCTCCTCTGCTCCAGCTGATGTTAGAAAAGCTCACATCTGAAGTCTTCATCATTTGCACCCCAGAGATGCAGCTTATTAACAGACAGGGTCCAAAGGAGCTGAGGTCACAGCAGAAACACAGCTGTAGGACAGCAGCTGGAGCTGAGCCCAAGCCAGGACCTGATCTAAGGGTTAGCTGGAAATGCATTATGTGAGTTTAAATGCACTCAGGTGCAGACACCAGCTCGCTCTGAACCTGGCAAACACACACATGGTCCAAGCACAGGATTGTGTTGGTGGAAATAAGCTGGGAAAAATATGGAGGAAGGGTGAGGCGTTGTAAAGACTTTAGTAAATAAAATGTCTATTGTTTGTTTAAACATGTCACTGACTATGTTAGAGGCTGGCAGCAGGCCAGCGCAGCAGACTTTGATGTCATGTAACAGATTGCTGGGGTGGAGGACAGAGAGCAGGCTGGCTTTCCTGGAGCTGTCTGGCTCAGCAGGGCTGCAGCACTCACCCAGCAGCCCAGCACAGAGGGACTGTGGGGTGCCTGTCCTGCCTCTGCCCCAGAGCAGAACAGCCCCACTGGGCAGGTCCTGACTGATGTGTGAGCACTGACAGACACCCACTGCCTGCTCTGGTGCTCTCTGACCTCTGCTGTGAGCACTTGGCCCCTGATTCCCAGCCCAAGCTGTTCTGCTGAAGTTTGAGCACACTACTATTGTGTATATTCACAACTGTGTCTCTTTTTGCCTGCAGCACTTTTAAAAGGTGTTTTGCATCCTGTGTCCCAGTAGCCATCTCAGCTCTGGAGTGACCAACCTCCCCTCCCCTCAGCCCCCTCACTGATCTCATCTCTGACTCAGTGGTGATGTCTGTAGCTGTTGTCCAGACCCTTCCATGGCCCCTTTCAGATGCAGGGCACAGAACAGGGCTGAGCTGACACCTTGTGCTGTGTATCCCTTGCTGGTCTGGGGCTGTGGGCTGATCACTGGATGCTCCAGAACCTTTTCTACTTTTCCAATGCATGAAGCATCTAATTTCTGCCTAAGGCCCTGTCCAGTGACCACTGCAGGAGCATCTCTGGTGCATTGTCTTCACCCTCTGCAGTGCTTGATCCAGTTAGCCTTAGCTGTGGCTAACTGAACACAGCCCTCCCCAAATGTCCTCCTGGAAACTGCAGCACATGTATTTCAGATCATCAATTGTGCCAAATCGTGGTGCACTCTAATCAGCTAGCCTTGAATGATTCAGAATCAAGGCGTATGTCTTCTATCATTCAAGGCATTAATTAATACATTGACTAGCAGGAAAAATTGCTTTGTAACAGGATTTGATTTATTCTTCTGTTTAGACTCTGAGCTATTTCCAATTCCTCTGCTGATCCACGGCTATGCTCCTTTTTAATATTACTCTTATCCAGACCAAATTTCTCTGGCTTGCATGTGAAAAAGCCATGGGAGATAATGTCAAAACATGCTTTGAGTCAAGCTGCATGATATTCATTGTTTCTTCCTGAAACAGAAATCTGTCATTTCTCCATAGAAGGAATTTCATGTATTGTGATGTGATTTGTTCTTGATAAATCCATCCTGACTGCTCACCTCCTTGCCATCTTCAAAATTCATTTATATAGACTGTTTGGTTACTTGGTCCAATATCTTGCTGTCTGCTTTAGAATTTCCTGGTTTCTTCTTCCCATCTCTTTTAAAGCTAGGAATTACTCTCCTTTGCCCAGTTTCCTGGAGAGCCATAGATAGTTGCTATTACTCCAGCCTCGTGTGTGTCAAAATTGTTTGGGAACATTTAACTCCTCTGAGTACTCTCTAACCTGTTCTCCAACCTGACAACTGGGGTTTCTTCTCCTTTGTTGCTGAAGGTTTTTGGCTGAGCCACATCTTTGATAAAGAGCCATTTATCTTTTTAGTGAGGATATGTTTTAAAAGGCTTTAAATCCTGTAGCCATTTCAGCAGTATGCACAATTATTTCTCCTGTTTATGGAACACAGACAGCACTTTCCATTGCCTGATCCTGGCTGCAGAAGTCCTTATAAGATCTTTTTCTCATGATCATTTCGTACTGTGGATTTCCAATTTTGCTCCAGCTGCCTGTACTATTCTTTTGTATTTATCCTTAAGATTTTAACCTCTTTGAGCTATGTACAATGGATTTACAATTTTGCTCCAGCAGCTTGTACTATTCTTTTATATTTATCCTTTAGATTTTAACCTCTTTGAGCAATGTACAATTTTTGTACTGTTTCTTCTTGCAGCTCAGCTTAGCTGAGAGCTTAAGTTGAGCTCTAGCTTTTCTGCACCAGGGGATAAGCTTATATTTGTATTCTTGAGGTCAGCTGCCCTCAAGGCTGATTTTCTTGGCCCTTATGGATGGTGTTCCTGTACCTCTGTGTGCCTCTCAGTTCCTAAAGCCCTGAGGGAGTTGGCAGAAGGCTCCAGGACCCTGGGGGTCCATCACAAGCCCAACTGCACTGACTGCAAAGCAGATTTTCCCAACCCAATTTCATAGCCTGGGGGAGGAACTGCAGAGCACTAAGGTGAAGCCTCATGGCTGACCTGGGTAGAGGGTCTGAGTGGCTTCCTGACTTGTTCTGCCTGATATCTCACCCCAGAGTGCTGGGCTTCCCACAGAAGCTGCTGCTACCAGGACATTCTGGAGCATCTCTCAGAGGTGACGTGCTGTGCAAGCCCACCACTCCCAGGGAATAGGTCTCACCCTTCATGTAAGTTCTCATAACATTTCAGGTATCAGAAGCCCAGTAGTGATGGCAAAGGGCACCTCAGTGGGTGCAGTGAGCAGGCAGCAGCTGCTCAAGAAAGATTGTTTCCTTTCTGAAGAACTTCCCAAGAAGAAGCCAGCATTTCAGTGATGAAAAACGTCCTTTAGGAGCTCACTCAAGCCAGCCTGTAATAAATCCAGAAGAATCCTGGGATGGCACAGGGGCAGGTGCTCTCAGTACCTTATTGCTGCTCTAGCCAGGTAACTTTGCATTTGTGTTCTGCAGACTGAAGATTATCTCAAGCACAAGATCAGAAGCAGGCCTGAGCGGGCAGACCTGGTCAATATGCACATTCTGCAAGGTAAGGCTGCCCAAGCTTCTCCCATGTACTCCTGTGTCTCCTGCCCTGGGACTTGTGTTTCTCCTGCCCTTCTTGTGTTCCGTCAGGAATGTCACGACCATTACTTTGTTCCAGCTGCTTATGGTGGGGCAGATTCAAATAGGACATGTTGTATGAAATTCTGTCCAGACCTGGGGTTCAGGAAGCAGGACATGCTTTTATTCCCTGACAAACACAGTCCCAAGGCCACCCAGTCTTTCTCCCATCTCTGGAAGGGAGCAGTGTAAGATGCTCTAGGGAACAGTGGGGTACAGAACAGCTGTGAGGGAGAACTCTGTTAGACACCAGTGCCAATGTCTGATTATGAAGAGCAAACCCAGGGAATTTTTTGTCCAGGGCACTGAAATTCCCATAGCAGGTCATTGTAACACCTTCCCCAATCTGGACATCTTTTGTGTAATTCCGGATATCCCATGTGACAGCCCATGCAGTCAATGACACAAGCAGAGCTGTACGAAAAGCCCTGCTATCAGTCTGTGAGCCACAGCAGCTCTCTCCTCTCCCATCCTGGTGTTCCCTCTCAGTCAGAGAGCTGGCAGGGCTGTATCCCATCACAGACAGCAGAACACCACAGTGGCCCTCACTATCTCCAGAGATAACAAGATCCTTAGAGACAGAGAGGATGTGCAGCCTCCCTCCCTCCTTGAGTGCTGTCACTTGTCTGGAAGAAGCAGATCACTCTCTGGCAGCTGTGAATTCTGCCCTCTGCTCTCAGCATGGATGCAATCTATATTTCTTTTTTCCTCTGGCAGGCAGGAGGGCTGAGCCTGGGTCCCATACTGGATCAGTGTTGCTGCCTTGCCTTTCCCTTGGGTTTCCATCCCTAAAATAAGCTAGCACCATTGCTTGTTTAAGAGCTGGAGAGTGTCCCTCCCTTAGGTTAAATAATAGAAGCAATGTGGATTGGAGGTGGGGGGCTGTTATCAGACATGGAGGCAGTCCCTGGGCTTGGACAGGGAGAGAGGCTGCAGAGTGCCTGGCTGTGCACTCAGCAAGATGCACGTGCTGCTCCACACCCCCCTCACCTGCACACACCTCTGCCCATCCTGCTCTGCATTTCAGAGCTCTGCCTTGGCATATCCATTTTGTGGATTTGACTTACAAATCCATTTTGTTCACAACTAGATCTAGAGGTGATTGGAACTGGCCAGGTGAGACAGTTTGCACCATCCAAGGGCTTTACATGCACCTCTTCTGTTAGAGTTCACCTCAAGGAGCTCATTTGTGTTCAAGGTCTGTATAGTCTGAGGCCAGGAATGGCCCTACACCAGCTCTCCTGACCTCCCCTGGAGAATTTCACGGTATCAAGCCCTGTAGCTTGTGTTCCCTACAGTACCTCTTCCAGAGAGTGTCCAGGCTTTGAAGATAGAACAACCTGCATTCAGCTGTTTTTACTTTAGACCCTCAAGGGTTTGGAAATTGTCTGGTTTAGAATCCCGCTCCCTCACTACTCACACCTGGTCCAAGAGAGGAGCCAGAGAGCTTTGTTCAGGAAATCTTTCTGTTTAAGTTGCTATTCTTCTGTCACCCTTTAATGACTGGGGTCTTCTCAGCTGGCTTTGGTAGGGCTGTAGCTTCCAGATCTACCTGCCTTTGCTCTGCTTCTCCACAGCTCATTTTTTCCCGAAGGCCTGGGGCACTGTAGTCAACTCCCAAAGTCCACAGCCCAAGACTCAGCATTTTTAATTGCAGTGTAAGCCATTTACTCCAGTTGTCAAGCACTGCCAATGGTTCTGTTCTCCAGCTGTTTCCCAGAAACAGAATGGGAGAATCAATCTGCCACAAGGGACCAATGTGCTCCTGGCAGGCAGGAGCTGGAGACCCCTTTGGGCCTCGTTAGTGGCAGCTTGCTAATGAAATTTCCATCAGAGATCACTCCTGGGCCTTGCAGAGGATGCTCCAGCTGTAGGCTGGGTTTGCAAGCCCAGGCTGGTAGACAGAGGCTCTTGTTAAGGAATGGAGAAGCTGGGACTGAGGCTCAGAGAAGGAGCCGTGTCCCAAAGCCCAGCAGCCCCATCCAGCCTAGCAGATCCTGCTGTGCTGAGCCATGCTCAGGGAGTGGCCACAGCCCCCAGAGGCTGTGCTGAAGGACACCACATTCTCACTGAGTGCTGTGTCCATGGGAGCCCCTGGTCCTGATGCTTCTCTTTGGCCTTTTAGACTCGGCTGCAGAGGGGTCCATTCAGTCAACTCAGATGAAGCTGAAAAGAGCCCGACTGGCAGATGACCTCAATGAGAAGATTGCACTCAGGCCAGGTCCTTTGGAGCTGGTGGAGAAGAATATTATTCCCGTGGATTCAGCTGTGAAAGAGGCCATAAAAGGTAGTGACAGTGTTGTGACACACGTTGTGTGTGCATGGAGTGGGGCAGGGACTGCCAAGGGGACCAGGGGGTACCACAGTGACTGCAGGAAGTGACAGACCTGCATGTAAGAGCTGCACTGATTGCTTAAATTGCATTATTTCACAGTAGCCAGCCCAGCCTGTGAGCACAGAGCTCTCATCTTAGAGCAGTGACACCAAAACCTGCACCATTGCTCAGCCACATTCCCCCAGAGAGAACCTCCCTTCTTACACCCCTTCCCTCCCCAAGGCTTTGAGCACAGAAAGTGACACTGTTGGACAGAGGACACTCCTTCCTTCAGCACAGGAAAGAACCTGAGTGCCCAGGTGTTGTGAGACCAGCTCAGATTCTCCCACTTGTGCCCTGCCAAGCTCCCACATCCCAGTAAATGGGGGGAGGGTGGCCCCAGTTCAGTAAGGCTGGTGGTTCTCTTTTATTTTCTACCACTGGCAAAACAGGAGCCAGCACAGCAGGATGCTGCATCCCTGGGGTGTAGAGCATCCTTGGGATGCTAAATTGCTGGAGAAAATGAACAGGGGCCTGCACCCCCAAACAGGGTTCACTCCTACCAACCAGGACTCAGCACTTGCCTTATGCCTAAGCTTGGTTTTCCTCCAACACCTTCTCCCACCAGAGCAGGGAGGAAGAATCATCCATAATTACTTCCCCCACGCTGCTGCCGGGAAGCTGGTGTGGGAGCCAACACAGAGCAGAAAGGTAACTCAAATTTCACCAGGGCCCAGTGCCAGGACAGGGGAGATCCAAAGGCAGAGAAAGGAGCAGGAAAGCTGGCAGGGTCCTGCAGTGACAGAACAGCAATCTGTATTTTTGAAGTCTGGGGCTGACTCCACATGTCCAAACTGGCACTCATGTCTCCAATGAGGCACTGAGAGTTGCTCTGTCCCTGGAAGCTGCTTGTTCTGTTGCTCACAGTTCCTCAATTAATGGGATCATTTCCATTAGCATAATCCCATTTGAAGGGTCTGTTCTGGAGCTCAGAGCAAGCTGGGGACAATGGCAGGGCTTTGGGACAGAAAGGGTCTTGGAGTGACAGGAGAGATACCAAAAATGAGAGTTGAAACAGGAAGCACTTTTGATTTAACCTCAGAAACCATCTTAAATGACATGAAATATTCCAGGCTCAGATCCTGCTCTGTCCTGCCCCACAGCTGTTCCTGCTCTTGGTTTGGGGGCTGTGAAATGCAGGCTGTGTATGTACAGCAGCTTCTCCAGGCTGGCATTGGAGCTGCTCCCTTCCCAGCGTGTCACAGCTCTCCTCTTTGAAGGTGAAATGTTCCAGGACTCTTCCTGAAGAGGAATTTTTAAGGAGAGTTCAAGTAATATCTCCCTGGCCGTTTACTAAAGGAGAGAACAGTGGAAAGAAAAGAGTTTCAAAAAATCCCCCCCTTTATAAACATTTGAGGCAGTGTGAGCATGACTTTATCCCCTGGAGCTGAGGTTTGGAGACTGGGAAAATGAGTTTGAATCTTGAATAGAGTGTCTCTCCAGCTGCCTTGTCAGGACCTCGTGGTAGACAGAGATTTACGGGACCAAACTGTTAAAAACAAAAAGTCTGGCTTAAAAATGATTTGTTCAGTTTTAAAATTCTTCCTTTTACAATGCTTTTCTGTCACATTGCCGGGGAAAAATGTGTCCTTGTAAGCCATCTTCGTCCCATTTAGGGTGAAACGTGGCATATTAGGGTCCAACATGAAGTTGCTTGGTACCATAGGGTGCCATGAGAAGAAGGTGGTGTAGCTGCACCAGGAGCACCATCCCAGCCTTCAGGCTTCTGCAGTAGAAAGCCTCAGGTTGAAGGATCCTCAAGCTCATTTTTGGAGTTAGAGGCACCTTGTGGTACTCACAGATTGGGGCAAAGGGCTGAACACAGAGCAGAGATGAGTACTGGCACTTCTGAATGTTAAGTCTTTTGTTTTTGCAATACCAGAAAGATGACAGGGTTTAAAATCATTTTACTTTAACCTTGGAATCTCAACTGTTTATACAGTGGAAAGTTCAGCTGACGTGTTCGTCTAATCACCTCCGGCAGGGTGAGCAGAAAGTGCCAGACCCCAAGCGAAAGCCCAAAGTCGCAGTGAGAGGAGGCCGCCAGTGCCCTGCATAGCTGAGCAGTGATACAAGGAACTTTTTTTACCGGGTCCTTGTCATCACTTTGTCCAATGCGCTCAAGAGGACAATACCCAGTGCATTAGAAACAGCCTGGAGCAAACACCATCCTGCCTGAGATTACAGCAGGGACATGGGATGGAGAAACAATACTCTCAGGCCGGGCTGGGTGACAGCAGGACAGATAAGGGAAGCATTCCCCATCGGCACAGGCCTGCCGGTATCAAGCAGCAGGATGCAGCACATTCCTGTCGTGCTCTGGGCTGTCGCTGTGTCCTGAAGGTCCCTTGTGCTCCCAGCTTTGGCACCACTTCCCAACACATGCTTCCCTGTCAGCGCAGCAGGAGCCCTGCAGACCCACAAGTGCCCCTTGCTCGGAGTCATTTTTCCCAAGGGGGGGATGTCCACGCTAGCCTGCAGGTGTGGGAAGCAGCTCCCATGCAGCCCAGGTGGCCCATGCAGCGCTGCAGCTCCTCAGGGACCTGTTTGGGTGCTGCCTCTGATGGAGAGGATGGAGAGGACTCAGGTCCCCTTTCCAGGGACACATGAAGAGAGCAAGTTGAACGTGGCTGATCTCATTTCCTGAGCCCATGTCTGGGCAGCAGCTCAGGCAGGGAGCCAGGGCTCTGTCCTCGCCCACCCTGGCACCAGCAGCCACAGGGAGTGGAGATAACCCTTATCTCTCAGATAGGGGCAGGGGTCAGAGCAGGAGGTGCGTGTCGTTGAGAAGGTGCACATTGCTAGACCAGCAGCAGGGACAGGTGGAAGCTTGTCCCCAAGCCCTTCCTATTTCCCCATTTGTCACCTCACTATCAGCGTGCCAAGCTGCCTGACAAATGCCAGACATGAGCACGAGGAGATTACGAGTGTGGCCACGCTGCTCCTTCCTCCACCCTCACCTGCAGCTCTCCCGAGGCTCACATGAGACCTTTTTTCTCAGCACTTTATTTATCATCAAACCTCGGGGTCGAGAGCCCTTGCCCATCTGAGTAGCAGATAGCAGTGCAGCAGCAGTGCAGCAGCAGTGCAGCAGCAGTGCAGGAGCTGTGCAGGAGCTGTGCAGGAGCTGTGCAGGAGCTGTGCAGGCAGAGCAGCCTGGGGCTGTTGGGCCGGCAGTAGAAGTGGTTTGAAGCATGGCCAGTGGGTGAAACCTGTGGACAGAGACAAGATGTGGGAGCCTCTGTGCACCTGCAACCACATCCGCTCTTCCTGGCCCTTGTGCTGAGAGCAGATGGGTCACACCCCGAGCTGAATTCAGCCTCAGTCCTGCTGAGGACAGAGTCCCAAGCGTGGTGTGGGTGTTCAGCCGGGGGGCTCAGTTAAGGGAAGGCAACTGGTCCCCGTCTCTCTCCCATCCCAGCCCGGTGGAGGGGCAGGATGGCAGAGCCCCTCTTGCACCAGTCCCACCTGTCTGCACCGGCCGTGCTGTGCGTGTGGGCTGGGCTCCTCCAGCTCCTCCTCTCTCCCTGTCCCCAAGGAACGTGGTCCATGGTCCTGGCTCCTCATCCTCCTCTGTCCCACGGGACAGTCCCGGCTCCTCAGACCCCTCTCTCCCCCTGTCCCAATGGCCCCAGTCCTTGGCTGTCCCCTGCTCTCCCTCAGCCCCGGCGGAGGCCGAGCCCCGTGTGCCCCGAAGCTCACCCCGTCCCTCCCCTCAGGCTCTGACCGTGTCCTCTCTGTCCCTGCAGGCTCCCAGGGCGGCTTCCCCCGGCAGACCGACGCCTTCGCCTTCGAGGAGGACAGCAGCAATGACGGGCTGTCCCCGGAGCGGCCCCGCAGCCGCG